TATCTTGTTTTGATGGAATAGAATTGTAACATCCCAAAAATACTGTCCAAAAATTTCATTTTTAAATCATAACTAAACCATCGTATTAACCCATTTCAAAACATACTAAAAGAGTTATATAACAAATAAGAGTATCTTTTCAAAAAACTTGTTCATTTCATCAGAGTAAAACATCCCAGGCTGTCTAATCAATGGTGTGTGCCATGCGATCACCCCGAGCTCTTCCCTCCGCTACCGGAAGTACCTGAAACCAAAGCTGAAAACCGTAAGCACGAAGCTTAGTGAGTCCCCAACCTACCACATACCCTGCATAATCACATACTGAAAATACTGGGCCACGCGTGCTACTTTGGGCCTCGCCCACTACCTCGGGCCTCGCCCGCTACAACGACCCCGCCGCTCCAGGCCCCACCTGGCTTCGAGCCCCACTCGGATACAGATCTGTTTCTCTTAGGCCCCGCCTGTCCCTGGGCCCTGCCCACTAATCATATACTAACACATAACATACCACAACACATAACTAAGTACATACTACTGAATCCTGTTCTAAGGCCTCGCCTATCTTGGGCCTCGCCCTTGTCCTGATACTGATGAGTCATGGAACCCCGTCCACACTCCTACTAATAGTGAGATACGGGCCCAGCCCACACTCACTCCTTTCCTAACTTGGGCCTCGCCCCTGCTCTGCTGCTAATGAGATATGGAACACCATCCACATTCTGCTATTAGTGAGATACGGGACCTCGCTCACACTCACCTCCCTACCAGGCACATACATGTATCACACAGACAACAAGTATAACTATCATACAAACCATTTCTTGGGCACCCGCCCGCTAACATTGGACCTTAGTCCCGAATGTCATACTAGCATACTGTGCCTAGGGCTAACCCCCGGGTCTTCCTACTCATAACTACATGGACCGGCATTGTGGCCGTAGACCCATCTACACAAAGGGAAACTCACCTCAAACTGGTGAAGCTGTTGATAACCCTCTGGCTGCTGTCCGACAACTCGCTGGACCGCTGCTCCACTAGCTCCCCGAGCTACTATTATCAACATGACACTTAGTTCCAAACTGAACTCTAAAAGTCAAACTAAGTCAACTCTGGTCAAAGTCCTGGTCAAAGTCAACCTTCCAGTTGACTCGACTCGTCGAGTCAACCCGAAGACTCGCCAAGTCCTTAAACTCAGAAGCTCTCAAATACGACCCAACTCGCCGAGTCACCCCAGAACTCGTCGAGTTCAACGATCTCTGAGTCCCTTCCTGTCCAACTCACTGAGTCACCACTCAACTCACTGTTCTGCGTCTTAACCAGAAGAGGTTGGGGGTTCTGCGTCCTGACTCGTCGAGTCCAAGAACAGACTCGCCGAGTCCTAGGCAATCTTCAACAGACTCGCCGAGTTGTTCTTCCAACTCGCCGAGTTCATGCACATACTCTTACAACTTGTCAAGTGCACCCATGTGACTCGCCGAGTCGCTCCAGTTCTCAATCCATACAGTGGCTTTTCGAGCCATGCAGAGGCTCCAAACTGTAGATCCACTCTTCTAAGGCCCATCCTTCACGTAAAGTTGCAAACTTTACGTGAAACCAAGGTGCTATAGGCTTAAAACACTCTCGGGCTAGGGTTTGAGACAAGCATGCTTCACCAACACACCAAAGACTGCTACTTTATGGGTTTCTGGGCCAAGACAACCCTTGATCCGAAGTTCTCTTTGCTCACAAAGGCACAATACACGAATTGGCCTTGGAAATGGCCCATAATGACAAAATCTAACTAGGAAAGGGGATCTAAATGAATAACAGCCAAGGTATGAGCTTCATACCTTCCTAGGATCTGAAATAACGCACCAACACAGAGTCCACTGCCACTTCTTGAATCACCCAAGGTTCCTTTCTTCCTTTTAGCTTCAAAGCACCCAAAAATGATAAAGAAAGCTTGAGAGTACTTCAATGGAGGCTTAGGGTTCGAGAGAAGGTAAAGGGAGTGATGGAGGCTGGGGTGAAGGCCTGAAATGATGCTTAAATAGGGCACCAAGCCCGGAAATTACGGTTTTCCAACCCAGACCTGACTCGCCGAGTCAGTCCCTTCGACTCGCCGAGTCGGTCACTTAAATCCCGATACGGGACCCGCTCCAACTCGTCGAGTTCACTTATGGACTCGACGAGTTGACCCCTTTGACTTAGGGTTTTCCTTTCCTTTCTTGGTCTTTCTGATTCTGGGTGTTACAAGAATGAATGGTTTTTATCTTTTTAAAAATCAAAATTTTACTCTGAATTTGGGGACGTTATATGCCAAAAGTTTAAGGGAGAGGTTGTCAGCATGGCCCAACATCAACATTGATGTTGGACGGTACCAATACTTTTTAACAGGGAAACGGAGGAGAGAGAGGAAACGAGCTTTCCAGTAAGAACTGGTACCTTTGGACATCGACAAAGACCAAGGAGGATTGCCAACGAGGCGACGACAATGTATTCGGCGAGGTGGGACAATGTCACCAGAGAAGAGAGTAGAGAGAGGTAGAGTAGTCCGCCATTTCTGTTTCACAGGAGCATGATACCATGGATGACTGGATTATCAATTATGTGTAGGTCTTATTTAGGATAGAAAGGGGGTGTTGTACTTTAGCGTAAGAATACTGTACATTGTTAATTTTGTAATAATAAAATAAATAAATAAATACTAAAATTAAAAAGAAATATAAAAAAGCTTATAAGGGTTATATAAGTCATTTTAATTTGTTTACTGACTAAAAACGCAACAAAAACGTATAAAAAAGACCGTCCACATTAATAAAAAAATTAAAAACTAAACGTGCAAATAACCCAAACCATAAGGACCATTCGTGTATATAATATGGTATCTATTATTTTTTAAGATGGGAATTTTTGCTTATAAGCTACATAAGTCCATTCATTATTAATTTAATGTCATAAATATAAAATTATTATAGTTTAATGGGTGTTCGAATGTTTTGAGCCTAAAATGTGCTTAGTCGATCACCAATATACAAAGACATAAACAAAGATTTTCTATACAATCTTGATCACAATCATTTAAAATTGGTTTTGGAAATACTGAGAGTTTTGACTCAAAGTTAGTCGATAAAAAACGACATAATCAATAGATAAATGTACGAAAAATTTTCATTTTAAATATTCAATAATATTAAATATTCAATAATATGGTTTCATGTAATTCGGTAACAATTTAGCTCTTTCTGTAATTCATATCGTTTTATAGGCCTGACATGACCCGCGCCACAACACAAATAAACGGGTTTGGGTTGAGTTTTTCAACTCGCCAAGTCGTTTATTAAACAGGTCATATATGGCTCTACATATAGTTTCATGTAATTCGGTAACAATTTAAGTCTTCCCGTGATTCCTATGGCTCCATATATAGTTTCATGTAGATCCCTAACAATTCAACTTTGTAATTCTCTTTGACTTTCTTTGTTGAATATTCAATAATATGTTGGGTAAATAGCATAAAAAAACAACCCGTTTACACTGAAATTTTAATTTGACACCGTGTTTTTTTTTTTGTCTCAAATTTGACACTATGTTTTTCAATTTATTACAATTCTGACCACTTGACCGGTTAACCAGGTTACATGCTGACGTGGCATGATGACATGTCAGTTTTGATGATGTGACATGCTGACATGATATGCTGACGTGTCAAAATTGAATTTTTTTTTCCACAAAAAACAGTAAATTTTCACTTTTTTTCAATTTTGACACTAAGTTTAATTTTTTTTTTCAATTTTGACACTATGTTTTTTTAGTTCCAAATCGAACATCATTTATCAATTTTGACCATTTTCCATTTCAATTAAAAACCATAGTTTTGTATAAATACAAGTTTTTTTTTTATTACATTCAAACCATAATATTATGTATAAATATGTATTAGTTATATAAAAACCGTATTTTATATTAAATACACAACTTTAAAATGAGTTTGTAGGTTTGAAGGCGTGTAGTCGATTAAAACCCGAATGTCAAGTTTGCAACCCCTGAAATTTTCACATCTTATTAGAAGTTTATGGTTAGTTTGATTCTCATTATATAACTAATGCATATTTATACATTATATTATGAATGTAAAAAAAAATAAAAAAAATAAAAATAAAAATAAACACCTTGTATTTAGATAAAAATGTGGTTTTTAAACAAAAAAAATATATTTATACGGTTTAAAATGTAATAAAAAAAATATATTTATACGGTTGCAAATGGAAAATGGTCAAAATTGGACAAAATTGGAAAAAATGATGTTCGATTTGGAACAAAAAAACATAGTGTCAAAATTGAAAGAAAAAAAAATTAAACTTAGTGTCAAAATCGAAAAAAAGTGAAAACTTACTGTTTTTTGTGGAAAAAAAAAATTCATTTTTGACACGTCAGCATATCATGTCAGCATGCCACATCATCAAAAACTGACACGTCATCATGCCATGTCAGCATGTAACCTGGTTAACCGGTCAAGTGGTCAGAATTGTAACAAATTGAAAAACACAGTGTCAAATTTGAGACAAAAAAAACACGGTGTCAAATTAGAATTTTGGTATAAACGGAATGTTTTTTTTATGCTATTTACCCTAATATGTTTCCATATATAGTTTCATGTAATCCTGTAAGAATTAAATTTTTCCGTAATTTCGTTTGACTTTCTTTGCTGGACGAATGTTCAACCTATATTTTTATTGAGTTATCCACATTTAGATTTCCTTGCCGGAAGCCGGACTCTTTAATTTCAACGTGGCATTATCACAAGATTGCCTCTAATTTTCAAAAACTTCTGGAGTTGGTATATGATTTCTTATGCGTGTATAGGTATGCAAAAAGAATTATTCAAAGGTAAAGAATAGTATTTCTACATCCGACTATTAAACTTTGGCGGGAGTTTAATTAAGTACGCCAGATTAGAAGGTTTACATTCGTTTGTTTATAAATTGCATGTCTCACACCATGCATTCCATATCACAAAAATGGCAATTACCTATTCTTTCAACTTCAAATCTTTTATTTTTCCTCTCCTCCTTGTCTTGCTCTCTACCCATTCCTCAGCAACTTCAACTTCCATTACAGATCGCTTCACCCAATGTCTAAACAACCGAGCTGACCCTTCTTTCCCGCTCAATGGACAACTTTACACTCCCGATAACTCCTCTTTTCCCTCCGTCTTGCAAGCTTACATCCGTAACCTTCAATTCAATGAATCCACGACTCCCAAACCCATCTTAATCATCACTGCCTTACACCCTTCACACATTCAAGCAGCTGTTGTGTGCGCCAAAACACACCGCCTGCTAATGAAAACCAGAAGCGGAGGCCATGATTATGAGGGGCTTTCCTATGTGACCAATTCGAAACAACCCTTTTTCGTTGTTGATATGTTCAACTTACGCTCCATAAACGTGAGTATTGAAGATGAAACTGCATGGGTCCAAGCTGGTGCGACTCTTGGTGAAGTCTACTACCGAATAGCCGAGAAAAGCAACAGCCATGCTTTTCCGGCTGGCGTTTGCCCTACTGTTGGAGTTGGTGGCCATTTTAGTGGTGGTGGTTATGGTAACTTGATGAGAAAATATGGCCTTTCTGTTGACAATATTGTTGATGCTCAGTTAATCGATGTGAATGGTAAACTTCTGAATCGGAAATCCATGGGTGAAGATCTTTTTTGGGCCATCACAGGTGGTGGTGGTGTCAGCTTTGGTGTAGTTGTAGCGTACAAGATCAAACTGGTTCGTGTTCCTACCACTGTGACCGTTTTTAACGTCCAAAGAACATCGGAGCAGAACCTAAGCACCATAGCCCACCGATGGATACAAGTTGCAGATAAGCTCGATAATGACCTTTTCCTTCGAATGACCTTCAACGTGATAAACAACACAAATGACCAAAAGACGATACGTGGTTTGTTTCCGACACTGTACCTCGGAAACTCTACAGCTCTTGTTACCCTCCTGAACAAGGATTTCCCTGAATTAGGGGTAGAAATTTCAGACTGTATTGAAATGAGTTGGATCGAGTCTGTGCTTTTCTACACAAACTTCCCCATTGGTACTCCGACCATTGCTCTTCTAAGCCGTACACCGCAAAGACTAAACCCATTCAAGATCAAATCTGATTACGTAAAAAAAACTATTTCCAAACAGGGATTCGAATCCATATTTGAAAAGATGAAAGAACTTGAAAACCAAATGTTGGCCTTCAACCCTTATGGTGGAAGAATGAGTGAAATTTCCGAATTTGCAAAGCCTTTTCCCCATCGATCAGGGAACATAGCGAAGATCCAATACGAAGTAAACTGGGATGAACTTGGCGTTGAAGCAGCCAATCGGTACTTGAACTTCACAAGGGTGATGTATGATTACATGACTCCGTTTGTTTCTAAGAACCCCAGGGAAGCATTTCTGAACTACAGGGATATAGACATTGGTGTCAACAGCCATGGCAAGAATGGTTACGTTGAAGGAATTGTTTATGGGCACAAGTATTTCAAAGAGACGAATTATAAGAGGCTAACGATGGTGAAGACGAGGGTTGATCCTAGCAATTTCTTTAGGAATGAGCAAAGTATCCCAACTTTGTCATCTTCATGGAAGTAAATACACTTGTGAAATTGAATAAAAGTATGGCTTTTTCAAGGTCATGGTATCCAGATTCAGATGATATTGATATAATTTTGACTTGTATTTATACAAACAAAATTATATTATATTTTTCTGAATTTCGATTTTCCATCTTTGAAAAAATATACGAACATTGATGTTGATATTTTTAAGCATTATAGATCTTGAACATTGTGAATAATGAATAAATTGATGAGTTGGTTTTTTTATAAGTATGTAATAGCATGTTTTTAATCAAGATAACTACTCATACTTAATTCGATGCAATTTATTATTTTAAACCTTATTTATATGTCGGGTTCACTGGCGGCCAAGTGTGTAAGTAGCGTGGTTGTACAAAACCTCAAATAGGGCTTTGCTCGAAGATCTCCTTTAATACCAGGTTACTAAAACCTAAGAAAAAAAATACATTAATTATAAGCATGGTTGTATACTAGTAATTAAATTCATGTTTTATTAAAAATAAAAATTAGATTTGTGAAATATATTTTTAATACCGTATAGAATTTGAATACCAATATAAAGATATTTAGATATCCAAGCCGTTATTGAAGGCATGGGTTTGAGAAAACATTGAATTATCTCAGAGCTATATAACTCTGATTTAGGAATTGGTATTTGTTTAGCAAAATAATAAAAGAAGAATTTCTAACAAAAATACATTTTGACAAGAGTGATATGAATAATCGGAAATAGTACATGAACTCTTACATCAAGAATCATTTAGGATTCAATATTCTTTGTATATATTGATCAAACTATTTGTTCATTGGAGAGAAGGTTTAAGTAATACAATCACTATGCATATATTTTGGTTTCTTAATAGTTAGAAAAGTTGAATTCAGACAAATCTTCATAAATGGTCTGTGTGGTATCCCAGAATATCAAGTTTTGTCTCTAACGATTTTTGTCTTCAAGGATAGTCCTAATGGTTTGAAAACTTTTTATAGATTGTCCTTTTGGCTCACCATGTCACATTTGAGTCGTTAAGTGAAATCACGTGCATCTCAGTCCATGGCAACTTAGTCATTTCACTTTTATCAATCACTACCTATAAGTTTGTAACATCTACATTTTTCAACACTCTCTTCTTCCCTTCTTCCCCTCTTCACGAATGTTGCTTCCCATATGAAAAAATCAAGAAAATATTGATTTTTTGATCTAGAGGTGTAGCGATGAAGGTGATATTATGGACCAATCTTAACCCTGGTAGGCATTTTTGGAAATGTTCACGGTTTGGCAGGAGTTGTGGGTTCCTTGGGTGGGTAGACCCTTCGATGTTCCCTAGGGCAGTGGTTGTGATTGTAGGTTTGCTTAGAGCCATGAATATACTCCAATATACAATGAAGATTCCTCGAGTTTGAAGTTTTGAAGATAACGCTGCTCTTATTTGGTTCATAGTTTTTTTGTTTGGTGATTAAAGTATTAGGTTGTTTTAATGTTGAACCTTGTTGTAAGCATTGAAAAAATTGTAGTATTATTTGGTTATTTCTTCGTGTAAGGATTTCACTAGAAGTCTCAGGTTTACTTGAATTTGTTGAAGGATATTGTTAACTATGAATTTAAAAGTACAAGCTTTAACTACCCTTGTGTGTAAGAATTTATGGTCATCATTTACTGTTTTCACCATCCAGTCTTCATTCTTACAAGATCTAGAAATCATCATAGCCTAAGGACAAATACCTTTTTTGTCAATTACATTTTTACCCCTTGTTGAATGCCCACCATTGTTTTGACCATATTGACCAACCATACCATCATATTTGACCCTTAACACTAGTTACTTAGGAAAAATGTGAAATTGTATGTTAATCCATGAAAACGCACATTGTTTCTTTATGAGTCGTTTGTGGAGCATGTGTGGTTAACCGGCACACTAATTTGGGACTAAAAAATTAAATTTATAATACATACTTGAAATTAATTATCGTTAATGGAGTGTGTGTGGTTAACCATCATGTCAATGTGAGATTATAAATGACCTCGAGGATGTCACGCGGGTCTGCATGGTTAATCACATCTTATTTGTGATCATCAACATCTCAGTCACAAATCGAAGAGCATAATCCGAGATTAACACGCCATTGATAGTTCAATGTGATGGGTTTTATAGATAACAAATATCATATTTTTGGAGGAAAGCATAAAACCCTAAATTCGCATACACCCTAAGGATCTAGGTTTTTCACTATTGAATGAAATAATCAATTTGAATATCAAGAATGCTATTGTTACCCTAGGATTTTCAAAATTAATAAAAGGGTATAGAAAACATACCTTTTGATTATGCTAGTAGATAATCAAAACAAAACCCTTCTTGAAATTGTTTGGAAGCTAGCACCAGAAATCTTGTGCCTCTGATCGTTCACACCCAACCCTAGTAACAAGGAGGCTTAAAGAGAGAGGAGAGGGGAGCTCAAAATTTTGGCATTGGCTTCTTGGAAAGGGGTGGATGAAATATGAGTCCAGATATGTCTTTATATAGCTGAAGGAAACATGGGGCTAAAGCTAGAGTTTTTAGGATAAGGCCTAGATTAATTAATATAATAATTAAGCTTCCTTATCTTCTTATCGTTACCCTATAGACGAAAGTTCTAGGCTATTCCTAGCCAATTTTCGTCAACCCCATCTTATAGGGTTCTAAGGCCTTTCTGCTTCAACTTTCAATAAATAACCAAATAGTCTCTGCACTTTTAATTAATCTAATTAATCCTAAAATTATTAATTATTAATTAAATAATATGATTTCTAATTAATATATTATTTTCATATCATATTAATAAATTAATTTTTATTTCCAATTAATTTATTAATCACATAATAAATTAATAAATCAATTTTTCTCTCTAAAAGTCATCATATTCAATTACTAGGTTTGAGGACAACCCAAAAGTACTTTGCTAATAATTCAAGATTATACTAATTTAGTTATTGGCTTAGATACTTAATCCAACAGTCTCCCACTTGGATAAGTCTAAAACTAAATTACCGGTATAACTTCTAAATTAAACAGCAAAGAGTGCTTCCATAGCAACTACCGAACTCTGAACTAAAAAGACATTGGTCCTAAGATAAGTGATCCAATGTTCCTCCGCTCTACAAGATATCACACAAACATGATACATGGATTAGAATCAATCTCATTGTCTAAAATTTTGTTTCCCGATTTCCTGATTTGTGATGACGACATAAGACTTCAAACTAAACACATCAATTGAGTCTTGGCTGGGAGTAGCACTGTAACTCATCACCAAATCATCAAGTCACCCAAAGATATCTTTTTCCCGTTAGGGAAAAAGGAACGAATAAACTTTGACTTACATGCTTGTAGCCTTTACTCACCAAATCATAAATGATAGGGCGTTTTATAACATCATGTTACTGACACATTTTCGCAATACCAATGCAAAACCGAATTCTAAATTACAACTCATATATATTCGTTTCAAGAATATAAGATATTATCATCTTAGAATTACTCGTGATATAATCCATGAAGTAATTATCTAAGAGTGGGTTTATCCAATACTTAAATCTCTATTTCTAAGTACTCGTGAATGTTGTAGCAATACAATTGCTATGTCTAACATCTTCAGACAATCGACAATCCACTTCTCGACAGTCTTAATTCACTACTTACTTCCCAAAGTATGAGCGACTGTGAAATTTGAATAATTAAATTATTCAGGAAGTAAAACATGCAAAACGAAACACAAGAAAAAATAATTAAGAAAGGCAGTAAACAAACTCATAAATAATCTCTATTATTTAATCACCAAAAGTCAATTACATTTATTTTGTTACAAATTTCAAACTAATCATCTAACTACTAAAACTAATGTCATCTCTTAAACCAATGCTCCTAGCATGTTGACTATGCTTAATCCTATTTAGAGCCTTTGTGACAAGATCTACAGGATTATCTTCTGACGATACTTTCTTCACTATAAAATGGCCTTCTTCAACTCTATGTATGATATAATGGTACTTTTTGTCGATATGTCTTGATTTACCATGATCTCTCGTTTCTTTGGTCAAAGCGACCGCTCCTTCATTATCGCAGAATAGTTCCATTGGTTCCTGAATGTTTGGGACAACACCAAGATCTGCAATGAAATTCTTCAACCATGATACTTCCTTTGATGCTTCACTTGCCGCTATGTACTCTGATTCACAGCTAGAATCAGTCATTGTGTCTTGCTTGGAACTTTTCCAAGTAACTTCTCCACCATTTAATGTAAATATCCCTCCAGATTGAGAACGGAATTTGTCTTTATCTATTTGAAAGTTGGCGTCACTATACCTAATAACTCTCAATGTATCACTGCCACCAAGGACTAAAACCATGTCTTTTGTCCATCGCAAATACTTGAGAATGTTCTTAACTGCTGTCCAATGAGCTCTGCCAGGATTTCCTTGATAGCTACTGACCATGCTCAAGGCACAGGACACATCAGGGCGATTACATGTCATAGCGTACATGATCGATCTAATGGCCGAAGCATAAGGGACTCGACTCATATCAACTATCTCTTCATACGTACTTGGGCTTTGAGTCTTACTCAATTTGGCATTGCTCTGAATAGGTAGCTCTCTTTTCTTGGAATTTTCCATACTAAATCGTTTTAGTACCTTGCCCAAGTATGTACTTTGACTAATTCCAATTAGTCTGTTCTTTCTATCTCTCAAAATTCTTATCCCGAGAATATAGGTTGCCTCTCCTAGATCCTTCATAGCGAAACACTTTCCAAGCCAAGATTTTACTTCTTGCAAGGTTGGAATGTCGTTTCCCATGAGTATTATGTCATCAACATACAATATTAGAAAAGTTACTATACTCCCGCTAGCTTTGGCATACACGCATGACTCATCCTCACTCCTAGAAAATAAAATTATTTGAGTTTTACATGGAAGCAAAGATTCCAGATGCGAGATGCTTGTTTCAATCCTTAGATGGATTTCTCTAGCTTACACGC